AAACCAAAACAGCTTCTCATAGGGATGTACTCTGGACTAGCTCCTTCTCACCACAGACACTTAACTTCCACTTCTGTACCAAGTCATTGAATCATAGAACCATTAAGGCTGGAGGAGACCTCTAAGATCATTGAGTCCAATAGATGTCACTGCTGGAACCTCCAATCCCTAAACCAGATCCTCCAGTATCAGATCCAGATTCCTCTTCAACACTTCCATGGATGGTGACTCCACCACCTCCCTGGGCAATCTATTCCAGTGCCTGAACACCCTCACAGGGAAAACATTTCTCCTAACATCTTATCTGACTCTCCCCTGTCTCAGCTGCTCTGATACAGCAGTCCTGTTAAGACACTGAGAGTCACAACTTCTGCTTGCCATTGTTCATTCTCAGCATGTTTTAGTGGAGGAATGAGGAAGGGAAAAAAAACACCCAGCAGTGCTATATGAAAAAAAATATGTAGTGCCTTTATTGAATTTTAAAATGGACCTTTTTTTCAAAGTGCGTTTACATGACACACATGAAAGGTTTAGGATCATTTTATAAATATACCAAAAGGAACAAATATTTTTTTAAAATCAGTATTTTGGCTCAATCAAACAACTTTCCTCTGGCTACAGGTAGGGATAACAAGTAGCAGTTTTTCATTCGGTCTATTCCAGTCAGCAGAAGTGATTCAGGAGGCTTGAGGTCACTGGAACTCTGTTGGCTGGGCTGGATACTGTGAGCTGTCAAGGTGGAAGCACAAAGTCAGTATTACAACCCTAGTCCTCAGAATATAAATACCATACTGCCAGATCTGCACATTTGATACACAGATCTTCTTGCAGAAGAGTTCTGTGACCAAACAATACTGTCCTAAGGTGGAAGCGTCAGTATTACAACCCTAGTCCTCAGAATATAAATACCATACTGCCAGATCTGCACATTTGATACACAGATCTTCTTGCAGAAATCCTAGTCCTCAGAATATAAATACCACACTGCCAGTGTCTGATCTTCACATTTGATACACAGATCTTCTTGCAGAAGAGTTCTGTGACCAAACAATACTGTCCTATTAAATTCTATTGATGTGCACCATAACAATGAGCCCTGTTCAAATAGTGCCTAGTAACTTCAGATGGAGCTGAAGGTTCTTTTACCCTACAACAGGCTGTCACTGAATACACACCATACTTAAAAGCAGACTGTGTGCAACTAAGTGAATGTGGCACTCCATAACTAGTCCTGGTCCTCCCTTAGCACTTCTCTTGTGACTAAAACACAGAGTGAGAACAATCTATGGGCATCTGCATTGGTCTACACATGCATTACATTCATCAACGAAACACTTCAGTACCATGACAGTTTAAACTCATCTGATGTTTCAAATGCAATTTTTTACCCCTCCTGTTCTGAAATGAAGAGATTCTTATTCCATTCTGGCCAAACACACACACAACTCACAGAGCTCAGAAGACACTGTCTCTCAAAAGAAGAGTTTCAAGTATCCAGCATACACTGAGACAACCAAAGCAATTTAGGTGGGAGAGGAACCTATTTCTACTGGTTTTGTTACTTATCATACAGAATACGAGGGGCAGTTTTGTTTGGTTGAGGATGGAGGCATAAGAAAGATGCTTGATCCATGCAAGAAGCCAACACTGCAGTGTCCAAATGAATAGATTAATTGAGAAGGATTCAGATCATGATTTTTTTCATACAAATAAGCGGAGATACCAAAGGCAAATTTCTGCCTTCAAAGACAATTTGGAAAGTGATGGAGGTTGACACAACAGCAAGTTGGTTGTTTCAAGATAAGGGAGTTGCAAGAGAAAATATAGGTTGGAGTTTATACAGGAGGAGAGCAAAAAGTCCTGCAAGAGACAAGCTGATAGGGCACACAGAGGAATTCAGTTGCAAGCAGCAGTTAAAGGCAGCAATAGTCAAATCCTGAGGCTTAAATATACAACAAGATCTCATAACTTTAAAATGTTACTTTCAAGGACAGACTGGAAAGCACAGGAATTTGTCCCTCATCTCCTGTTTCCATAAAATTCATAGCTTTAAGCAGCATGAAAGAGGTCTGACAATTTTTTTAAGTCAATCAAATAAATTCCCTGTCCTGAAAAACAAATTGATCAGTACAAACGATGTCACTGCCTACACATAAGTCAAACGTAACTTCAGAGTTAACAGCTGGGGCATACACAATACTGTATACAATATACTGTGCATGCAATGAAAGAGAAAAGATTCAACATATACACTAAGTTTTAGCAATTTCCTTTCCCAAACAGCTGTTTGGAAAGCTGTGACTGCAGCCTCCAATACACAGTCACCTCAGACTCCTTATTTCATCAGGGCAGAGGGAAAAGACAAAAGTCAGCAGCTGCAGGGGATAACACAGGGCATCTCTCTCTCTCTCTCTCTTACTTCAAGGAGTCACTTGAGCAGCAATGCTTTTTTAGGTGTGTTTTCTAAAAACAAATGAAATGCATGGTCTCACCACCCCTTTTCTTCTCCAACTGCACTCAGAACTCTTTGGGAGCCAGGCAAATTCATTAATCTGGGAGAGAACTATCCCAAGGAAAAGAATTCTTTCTGCCACATTAGTCTGTTCAGCCAGTTTCAGCTTTCAGAGCTGACAAATGCTAGAGCCAGCAACCTGGCTAGGAACAGGAGGAAAGATCTGGTCTCCTTCAGCACCAGCAACCCATGGGAAATTGGTCCCCTGAAGACCCTTGAGCTGGTCCTTAAGGTAAGGTAGATTAAATCAATCATCCTGCATCCTCCATGAGAGACATTGTATCCTTAGCCAACTGTTCTACTTGGGTAATATATTAAGCCTCAACTGGGAAAAAAAAAACCTCTTGAGAATTTTTTGACTCAATACAGCATTACAAAGGTATTTTTACGCTGTCTGCCTGCAACGAGTGACTAAAATTGACACTGTTCTTTAAATTGTGAAACAGATCAGGGAAGAGTATTTATGCATTGTCAAGTTCAACAGCACTTTTTGGGGGGTTGGGATTGTCTCTTACCTTTTCTCTTTGATGATAACACGCTGATGCAGCAACACGGGGATTTACCTTTCAGCAAACTGAACAAGGCAAATAACAAACTTGTAACAAAGAAAAGTTTTGTGTCATTTCATTGAAAAAAAATGAAACAAACACATTTACTGACATCAATCATGCCCATTACATGATATCACAGCTATAATTAATATAATTCCCTTCATATTCAAAGTTGCATTGCAAAAACTCCAAGTTTTCTGTTTGAGGTTTTTTTTGATATTTCTTTTTGCCCTTCCATTTTTAATACCAAATAAATTCCACCAAATCACAGTGTGATCCTTGGAAAAAGACTCGGAAACTTCCTACATGTACTGCTGCTGCTATTTCAAGGTGTTCCGTTGATCCAAGCAAAAATAAAAACAATTCACATCTGTAGATGAAGCTAGAGTACCTTCAATCCAGAAAATCTGGGTAAGATCGTCTGCACAAAACAGACCCACTTGACCTTCAGTCAATCCATCACCAACTGTGTGGACTGAATTAGTCATGAAGTGTCTTTTCTCTTTTGTTACTTAAGGCAAACTCAAGTCTTTTGGTAACAAACGCAATCCCGGGGAAGATCCACTTTTTCTGGATGGCATCTGGTAGCGCACTTTCTTCCAGAATCTGGTCCCTGCTGAGTGAGACCTTTGTGAGAAGTCTCCTTTCCATCGGATAGCCCCATGCTTCTGCTTAATATATTTGATGGATTCTGGCATGTTTGCATAATCTTGGATTTTTTCAAGTTCAATGAGAATGACTTTAACACCATCTTGGATAAGAGCGTTGTGCATGGCTAGCTGCTTCTCAGACACATCTTCCAGAACACTGTAACAGGAGGGCTCTGGGACTAAAACAAGTATCACTCTTCTACTTTGGCGGATTTTTTCATCAGCAACACTGATTGAGGCTGTAGAGAAAAAAGGTTGTGCAAAATGAAGGTTGCATGTTTCTACTCTTTGTTACTAGAGTGCTGCAGCTGGTTTGTTCACTGTTTGATAGTTAAGCCAACACACTTCACATCAGAAATAGGGACAGGATATGAGAATGCAAGCAGTTAACTTGGGTTAGCCAACTGTGGAGATTGGGCCAGTGCAACACAATCTGACCCCATCACACTGCATGCCTATATTCTTGCTCTGAATGAACAGAGAAGAGCTACCAACTATCTACAACTTATCTTGCTAATGCCATTTTATTATGATCATAGGTGCACATGCAAAAAAAACAAAAGTTCCAGAAGGTCCACAGGACCATTTACCTGAAATAGCCTGTTCTGATATGCTTAACAGTTTTTGTTACATGTAAGTCAAAGACAAAGGAAAGAATCCTCCCTTCAATGGCATTTCAGACAATTAAGTCTCAAACTTAGTTTACTGGGATGCATTAAGAAGAGCATTGCCAGCAGGTCAGGGAGCTGATCCTGCCTCTCTGCTCAGCCCTGGTGAGGCCACGCTTCATACTAGAAAACTACTACCAGCCTGTTCAAATTCCCCAGATAACCTGTGTTCCTGTGCAGCTTTGCAATGGGACAGATGGTTACTGATGAGCTTAGCCAGGAAGAAAATTGATTCTTGGATAGCTTTGAAAAAACATCACTTTATACTCTGCAATGCTCAGGGATTTTCCAGTGCAGTGCTTGAACCAACCAGCCTGGGCTTAAATCCCTCACCCACACAGTCTGGAGCTGGACACAGTCCTCAGGAGCACATTGGCTCAGTGCTGCAACCCAATAAAACAAGAGGCTATGGGCAGAAGCTGATGCCCACCTGAACATGAGGAAGAACAGCTTTCCTGTGAGGTGAACAGGTTGCCCAGAGGGGTCGTGGATTCTCCTTCACTGGAGATATCCCAGAACCATCTGGACACAATCCTGAGCCATGTGCTCTAGGGTGGCCCTGCTTAAGTGGAGAGGCTGGACCAGATGACCCATTGTGGTCCCTTCCAACCTAACCGATTTCGTGATTCTGTGAAACAGTAAAATATGGTAAATACCACACAAAAGTCATGGGGCTTAACCCCAAGAACAGACTACTGCATTTTTTTCAAGCTGGAAAAAGTAAAGCAGCACTTTAGATTCTACTTCTTAGGGAACCCATTTTTCTCAAACCACTACCAAAAATCCTTCAAACATTAAAAAAAAAAAAAAAGGAGTGATCCATGAACCACCTCATGTAAGTTCATTCAAACCAAATGGTTTTTAAATAAAATCTTCTGGTTTAGGCCTAATGTGCAAATTTATTCACTCTCACAATTATCTTTTTTAAGTCATATGACCAGGAAGGATTCAGAAACTTTCACCATTTCACCTGACATAATTAGTTGGTGGGACAGACTTTGCAATTCTCAGTGTCAGATGCTAGACATTTAAATCTGTTGCACATATGCACAAGAGAAAACCTCCACAACGATTTTAAAGCCTTGCAAGGAAGGCAAGGCTTGCTAAGAATTTTTAGGAGAGATAACTAGCCCTTGATACAGCTGATCATTCCTGACAACTTGGTGTTGCTTTGCATTCTTTTCTTTTTCCCACCTTCACTGTCTAAGCATCCATTATACCGTTCATTGCATCCTGCTGGTTTGACAGCAATTCTCAGAGCAAATAAAAATGAAACAGCAGCGACATCATCCTGTCTAATGGCACCTCAAAGCAACAGGCTTCCTTCACACCACTCATGAGACCTACTTTTCCATGTTTCCTGCCATAAGTCATCATTCACAACCACAATTTCAACTCCTCTTCTCCTCAGCATCATTCCATCTCCAGATGTCTAGGCTAGCTAGACACTGAAAAGAATGGGAAAGCTAAATAATCCTAAGGGAAAGGCTGGGATAAACAGATTTGATGGGAGCCCCCAGTGCTGTATATCTTATTCTCCATCAAAGTGAATAAGAAAATCACAGTCCATTTCATGGTAAGAGACATTTAGAATCCCATGTGATTGATTGTCTGTTCCTCAAATGATTTGCAGGTCAGTGAGAAAACTCAAGTCTAACTTGTCTGCAGACAGCTTACCTTCTCCTGGTAAATCATCCCTCCCAAATATGAAGAGGTTATATCCACACTGTCTTTCTAAGACCTCTGGTAGTATCTTCAGAGCAAAAATATCCGATGAATATGAGCAGTTCTCTCTGTTCTTTGGATACAGAACATAAGCATCATAGATCTTCTCATCTGAAACTAAGGAGTGAACAACAGGATTTATATAAAAATGGATTCTAAAGATACAAAAGCAAGCAAACAAACAAAAAAAAAATCTCTAAACTCTTTTTTCACACTTGAAGCATTATTTTAGGTCCTAATCCTACTATTACCTAAGCATGTCTAAATATACCAAGCCTGCAACACTTGTAGGATCAGACCTTCTAGAATTCAGGATGCTGAATCCAAATATGCAGTAGAGACCTGCGAAATTAGCTAAGTTTGAATATTCTTTTTTGAACTCTAAATCAAAAACATTATCACTGAAATATCTGGAAAACAACAGATCCAGGAGTACAACTGAGACTTAAAATTCCAGCTGCCATACAACTCATAGGCTGCTTTGTAAACTGGGGTTTCAAAACACAGCAACCACTTAGACACAACAACAAAAACAAAGGAAGTGGCAAATTGTATTATACTATGAATCAGGGGAGGTTTAGTCTGGATATTAGCAAATAGTTCTTCCCCCAGAGGTGTTTGGGCACTGAACAGCTCCCAGGGCAGTGGGCACAGCCCCAAGGCTGACAGAGCTCCAGAGGCATTTGGACAACACTCTCAGGCACAGGGTGTGATTGTCTGGGATGTCCTATATAGGACCAGGAGTTGGATTAGATGATCCTCAAGGGTTCCTTTCAACTCTGATTATTCTGTCATTCTGTATTAGAAAATTTGAAACAAACCTTTCAGAAAGACCAAATTTAAAAGACTTCAAAAAATCTCAATACTCCTAGAAGATATTTTCTGTTTGCCTAGGCATGTACCTGCTCTCAGGTGTTTGGAGAAGACCAGTACTTCAGCATACTCTCATGGATAGCAGCCCTATCAACAATTTTGCTGAATGCCAAGAAAATTAAATTTACAGAAAGTAAAATAATCAGAAGAGCCTTCAAATAGAAAACAAAACAAAGTCCTATTTTCCTGGATCATCTATGGAAAAATATAAAAACCCCAAGAATTCCACTGTATTACTGCTTTTTGTAAGAACAGTAATGAACAGAAATCTGAAAAACTGCTGTCACAATAGCAGGCAAACCACTGACGTGGGTCTTCAGGGAGAGGAATGCTCATACTGGATTCCTGGAAAGTTGCTGATTTTTGATTCTGTAGATGCTTTTGTTATCCAAACTAATTCTAAACATCCTAAAAACATATTACCCTTTCAAAAATCCTAAGGAAGACCAAGACCACACCCCATGAGGTTAACTCACTGCTTTGCAAGGGAAGGTGGAAGCTCAGTACAACACTTAGCACTGTTACACAAACATACCTTTTTTGCCCAAGAAGGGTTGGCACAAGTCCCGATACCAAAGCACAATATCAATTTTGAAGATCTTGTAGAGAAAGAGAGCAATAAACACTAAAAATACCGAGGAAACTCCTCCTCCAATTAAGTAACCCTGAATGTTTCGAGCTGCAGCAGCATGGAACAAGAAAGAAAACAAATAAACAAAGCTCAATTATAAACTGGAACCAGGGAAAGACAAGAGACATGCCAAACTGTTTAGTCATTAAAATATTTTGCTTTTTAAAAAGGAATGAATCAATGAATAGGCCTGAAATATTTTCATGTATGCTTTCTTCAAATATTGTTATTTACCAAACCACCTGTTAGCTTTCAGAGAAAAAACTACCTTAACAAGGTGACAAATGAGGCTCAGATTCACCTTCAGGCAATGATTTGTTTACAATGTGGCCAGATAAGTTTGGGAGTAACATTTGCTATGGGATTGGCTCCAAGCTGACCAAGCCAAATCAAAACAAGCTCACCAGAGACCCTTCTGCAGCTAGATTCAAAAACAAATGGCTACTTAGAACACCTGGTGATTTGCTGTTTTTAAATAAAAATAATTCATTTCTTCAGCCTTCTATTTGAGTTTTCAAAGCTGATTTTACCTCTACATTTATCTATTAAACCAAAATTTCATGCTTGCCAGAAATATAGGTCAAACTTATCCTTGTCTCTGAGCACTGGGGTCTCCAACAAGTGGGAGGACACTCTCAATCAACATGCATGAGCCTATCTAGAAGGTGGTTACACAGCACATGCATCAGTAATGGAAAGTCTATAACCTTTTAAAGAAATCTATTTCATTACATCACTATCATCATTGCTAGATTTTTTTCCTACTATACAGGTTTGGTTTTTTTCTCCTAGCAATCTGAGCCCATGATTTGTTACTGAACAAAAGGTTCACATATACACTCATGTTCTTTTGACACTCTGTTCCAGACTTAGCTATGACTTCTGCCCAGGTCTTTTAAAGTGGCCACTTTCACTGCCCTCCTAGACACACAATATCCTCTGATCCACATTCTTCTCTAAGTACAAGTGTGTGAAATGAAGCACAGTATTCCACTGAGATCTCCCACTTGCTTCAAATACATTAGTCTCTCATTCATGTTTCCTAAAATACTGAATGAGAGAAAACAAAGCAAATCAAAAGTGCTATTTTCTTTCATTCTGGCATTGTCAAACCAGTTAAGAAGTAACTGTCATTGATCACCATTTCATCAAGATGAGATCTCTTACCTGGGCATTCCAATTTGATGTAGGCTGTAAATTGTTGAGAACCATATATGAAGTGACAGAAAAATTTGTGAGCATAATCCTTTGCTTTCACTTTTGAAATGTTGAATTTTGTTCCAGATACAGCAAGTCCATGGGGCAACCCCTCTCTGTCATGAAAAAAAGAGTAAAAAAGAAAACATCTGTATGGAAACTGACTATCTGTGCTTAAGATGAGATAGATTCATCTATCCATAAATACAAGAACATTTGGGGTTTTACCTCAACAAACCTAAGTAGTCAGTGAAGCACAGTAAATATACCCCATAACAAACAGCTTCATGAACACAGAACATATTGAGTTCTTGGTTATTTCAGGAGGTTTTTGGAGGGTTTTTTTGCTGAGTTGGACAGAGTGCACCATGAGCAGTTTTGCAGATGGTACAAAACTCAAAGGGATGGCTGATAGAACAGCTGCCATCCAGAAGAAGCTTAAACAGGCTGGAGCAACAGGCTGACACCTCATGAAGTTCAAAGTAAAATACAAATCCTGCATCTGAGGAGGAATATTCAGACCCCAGGTATCTTGGACTGCAATAAGAAAAACACTGCCAGCAGGCTAAGGGAAACAATCCTCCTCTGTTCAGCACTGGTGAGGCCACACCTGGAGTAGTGGGGCCAGTTCTGAGCTCCCCAGTACAAGAGATGTATTGATTTTCTGGAGCAAGTCCTGTGCAGGGAGGTGAAAATGATGAGGAAATAGAGCATCTGCCATAAAGGGAGCAGGGACTGCTCAACCTGGAGAAGAGAAGGTTCAGGGGCAGCAGATGGAGCTCATCAGTGTGTGTCAATAACTGATGGGAAGGAGTGAAGAAGGAGCCAGGCACCTTTCAGTAGTGTCTGCTGACAGGACAAGAGGCACTGAGCACAAACACTTTACCATCCTAAATTCCACCTGAATACTTTTTGACTGTCAGAGTTGTCAAACACCAGAGCAGGTTGCCCAGAGTTATGAAGTCTCCACCTGTGGAGATACTCAAAACCCAACTGCACAAAGCCTTGAGCACCCTGTTCTACCTGACACTACTTGAGCAGTAGTAGTACTATGTAATCTCAAGAGGTCCCTTGCAACCTAAATGACTGTGTGAATGAGGGACACTACAAACCAGTAACATCTAGTAATAAAATGGCAAGAGAAAAATCACCTTCCAGGAGTTTTTATACCGATGATGAAGTGGAGACCACTCTAACCACTCTAACAGACTCCCCAAGCCCACACTGCCCACAGTCAATTTTCTCAACTTGAGAAAAAATGATAAACAAAATTCACAAAACTGGGTAACTGTGGTGTGAAACGACAACAAATATGGTGATCATAGACTCATAGAACCATCAAGGTTGGAAGAGACCGCCAAGATCATTGAGTTCAACCTGACATCTGCTGGAATCCCTAAACCCTAAACCAGATCCTCCAGTGCCAGATCCAGACACTTCCAGGGATGGTGACTCCACCACCTCCCTGGGCAAACTATTCCTGACCACCCTAATAGTGAGCAAAATTTTCCTAGCATTTACATAACATATTACTTTTATGTCTGATAGCTACTGCCATAAGAAACTTGGAGATACAGTATGTTATCCTGCTAAATACCATCTTGCTCTAACATACATTTACAAGAATAAGGTGAGAGAGACTGCAAAAGGAAGGTATATGCAAACTGGCATCCTACTCTATATACCAAAGTGATGTCACCTGATGTACTCAGAGAAGAGAACTCATTTTGAAGAGCACCCTAAAGAACCAGTTTCTGTTAGATAAATACTTGCCAGCAACTTCTGTCATGGTATGCCAATATAAACATCATTTTGCAACATGTTCAGGATTCTTTGAGCCAGTTTTAACTTTCCTCCCAGTAGAGGAAAGATTTACCACCTAGGTGTAACCCTCAAGTCCATTATGTTGGCCATGCCTACACTATGGTTAACTCCAGAAATTCAACTGCTGAGAAATCACTATTATTTTTTTAAATAAAACATTAATATTGCAATTACTTTCTCTGATACTGGATAATTTTCTTTGAATTATTAATCCTGTTAGAACTTGCACAGGATGTATTCTTGCACATCTCCATCTCTGGCATGGGAAAATTATCCCATTAGAAATGGAGATCACTTCCAAGCAAACCACAAATCTTAACAGAGGAATGCTTTGAGTGAAATATGTTAAATGCTTTTCAGGAAGAGGTATTTAAGAGTAGAATCAGGTTTCAGAAGAAGCTGAAGATATTACGACTATAAACAGCTATGTGAAGCTGGTTAAGATAATAAATGTCATGCTCTGAAGAATAATGGACTTAGCTGTGCCTTAGAAAGCATAAGCTGGGGCTCTAATATTTATGGGCAAACAACCATGTACACAGATCTCTAATGAAAGTAATAATTTCCCCTCAAGGAACCTGGGGACAAAGTCAAACAAATTCCTTCTGGAGGCCAGAGATAGATGAATTAAATAAATAATCTCACCAGCAGTCTGCAACCTGACTCTGTAGCCATATTCTGCACTGATGATGGCAGTTGGTGGAGAAGGCAATGTTTCTGCATGAGTGTGAACTGATCAGCTGAGATCTTTTTTGATCTCAGTTGATACTGAGTATCAATATCAACTTTCTTATTAATAAGGATAGTATTATTATTAAGGATACTTACTCATAAAACTGTTCCCTGTAGGTGCTATCAAAGATATCAACATCCTCATCATTAACTTGCCAGAATGGAATCAAGCCATTTATGCCACTTGATATGTTACATTCCATAACTACATGAGAGCCTACAAAAAATATTTAAACATAACAATTGAAGGTCTGGTAATAGGAGCAGGATCAAGGGGTGAGGGAACAGGTGGGAAAAGGAGGGATATAAAAAAACCAAACTATTTACCTTATGAAAAGCAGAGTCCCTAAAACTCAGCCAATTGTAAGCCAAGTTTGGGTGTCTATGATCTGGATATAAATTCCACCCTAAATGCAGGTGTCTAAATGTTTATGCCTGCATGTAGACTAGATATCTAAGCTAGCAACAGAGCTCAGCTCTGCTGAAGTCCACTCACATTAAAGTAGATAACTCAACTGAATGGCTCTCTAGACTCCACTGAAAGATCTCCAGGGCTCAAATCAGTGGCATGCACAATATATGGTGACATCTGAGATGCTCTCAAGCATCCAAGGTATCCGTATGGATTTGTCAGATAGGACTCCAGATCTCCAACAACCCTGAACTCCTGGAGTAGCCAGACCACCCCAAACAGCACTCTATGTGCAGGCAGCTGAGTTGAGCCTCTGTTGATAATAGCATGAGCTCAGGAAAATAAATCCTTATCCATGTGCAAATACCCATGTGCAGACATCAGCTGAATCACATTCTTAGTGACAACACATATCTTTACTCCAGGTCAGTCTTTTGGCCAACAGTGTGCCCTGGGATGGTTTCTGAATACTCTCACATCCTATTCCCAGAGCAAGCTCACCTGTCACTCTGCTCCTTTGCCACCAAGAGTTGAGATCTTGCAGAATGCCTCAGGATTAAGCAAGCCAATTTGCACAATATATTTATTGCCAATGAATCTCAGAAAGCTCCACATACAGGAAGGAAAGCAGCTTTCTTGGACTCCTTTTCTTCTGTATTTTACCCATGGAAGTTATGATTTGACAGGAGAAGGTGGGCTCTCTCAGTTCACCTATGTAAAGATCTGTGTTTCATTTCCCAGGACCACATCAGATCTAGATGCTTCCACCAAGAGATAGTTTCTAGTGTGGGATAAACCTTTATCTCACATACAAAGCAGTGAACAAGAGTGCACATAGAAATCAGAGATGCTCCCTGCTCTCTTCCCTCATGTCACTGTCTACAACCACCTCTTCTCGGCCCAGAGAATCCTACAATAATTGAGGGTGA